ACCCAGTCAATGGCATAGAATGCTACCAACCCCAGGGGGGGGGGGGTGGATTCTATAGACCATTGCTCCCTGTGCCTTTCTGAGGTGGCCAGGTTCTGGCTCGTGGTCCCCGGTAGGCCTAGAACTCCATGCGCATTGACTGATGCCAGGATCTAATACATTCATATCAGCCTGGTTAGCTCCGGGAAGCCAAAGGGACTCCCGCCAGAAAATGTTATAATCTTTTCTTTTGCAAACAGTGATAGACGGTTGGAGCAAGCTAGGTGAGAAAGTGGAGACCAAAAGCATCAGTAGTTTCAAAAGCATTATATGACAGAGTACTGTAACGAGGGGACACCACGAGCATAGCTCTCATCCCGTAACTACACTTAGGTAATTACACACACGATGGCAGGCTGTTCCTAGTATATTTAACCATGAAATGGCACCAGGATTTTTTTCCACATGTCAAGGTAAACTCCATTACATCCATATATGCTTTATGCATGTAAAACCCAATCAATAATTGTTCATATGACAATAACTGCATTACCCTGTGAATTTACAAATAACGATAAACGCTGTATAATGGTTAAATAAATCTACCCACCCTCACAATACACAACACTCCCATCCAACACGTACGAGAACATAAATATCTTGGCATGCGCTTAGACTCCCCCTTACTTACCTGGAAAGCACACATTCAACACCTTAAACAGACGACACAACCCCGACTCGCCATACTTAAAGCCCTCACTGGCACCACCTGGGGAGCACACCATAAAATCTTGCTCCGTTTCTATACAACCTACATTCGCAGCCAACTAGACTATTGTTGCCAAGCATATGCGTCGGCGGCGCCCACTAACCTACAGAGCCTCGAGGTCATACAAAATAATGCCATGCGACTTATATGTGGCGCAATGCGTTCAACTCCAATCCTCGGACTTTACGGGGAAACAGGCCTCACAAGCCTAGCCACCAGACGAGACATTATGTGTGCCAACTATCTGTCACTCTGCACCACTGCTCACCAGACACACCCATACAGATCAAAAATTAACCCAACAGTTAACCCATATAACCCCCGCTCCCCAACCATTCACTCGCAACCTTTCCTCACACGGGCTACAAATAACCTCAATAAAGACCACTCCCTACTTCAAAACTGTGAAACCCAACCTCCTGTTCCCCCCATTCCACCTTGGCTTTATACAACTCCTAATACAGCAATACAACTCGAAGACAACATTCCAAAATCTGCACCAAACTCAGCCATAGCCTCAGTCTTTGTCTCAATGAAAAATTGCTACCCAAATACCACAGAGATTTACACAGATGGGTCTCGCATCTTCATGAACAACGTACCCTCGGTCACTTGCGCTGTATGGATACCGGAATACCATCTCAAGCAGGGATGGCGGTTACCAAACCAACTATCTATTTTCACAGCGGAATTATATGCCTTGTATCAAGCTCTCCAAATCATCACAACATTATCAGTTGGGATATATACAATCTGTAGTGACTCCAAGAGCGCAATTCAAGCAATTTCGTACTCTTCGAAAACATGCAAGGAGATTGTCTACCCATGCCTTCAACTTCTTCACAAACATCAATTGAACGGTTATGACACCTCTATCCAATGGGTCCCAGCACATTGTGGTATTCTCCATAATGAACTTGTAGACCAACTAGCCAAAGCGATGCACGACACGCCTCACCTCACCCGTCATCCAATTCCCCATGTTGCACGTAAAGGAGCCTTCAAAGATACCATCTCCCAGGATTTTGCAACAAACTGGAAAACGTTATGCTCACCTTTGCACTATGGGTCCATTAAAAAGAAATGGGAAACTTGGAAACATGTCCGATATAAAAGCAGAGAAATTGATGTAACGATGACCAGATTAAGGCTGGGACACACCAAACTAGCAGCACACAGCTGTAAGTACAGAACAGACATCAACGAACTCTGTACTCACTGTCAGGTGCCTGAAACAGTCGAACACTATCTCCTGCAATGCTTCTGACATTATAGTGCCAGAGTAAATTTCAAACAAGTCTTTATCGCACTTAAAATACCCTTCACCATCGAGCATATATTAGGAGGCGGTGACCACTCGTCACAAGAAAAATACCAAATAGTCAAAGCACTGGCTAAATATCTCCAATCGACCAACAAATTGGGTCACATCTGACCCGCGCCACATTTACCTGGCGCCACCAACAGCTAAACACAGAAAACTACCACCTCTTCGCAACACCAAGGATCAGCTGACGCCATAAACACAACACACCGCCCTACGGTGCGGCAAGTCTCCCTCTAACACACACCTCTGTTTTAATCACCATTCCTCTATCTACAGCACAAAGCAACAAGCACCTTGGTAGCTCCGATCATCTTCAACATAAACGCGTCCAACAACATCAGTACTGGTGCAGTCATCGGGAGGACAAACCCTTCATGCAAACTGCACCTACTATCAACAAGAAGAAGATGGTTAAATATTGGAGCCATTTAGTAACCTACCAGGCAGAAGTGACACCAGTTGCAACTCATTTATTATATATACTGCACTTTTAAAAAGGCCTACTGAGCTGCTGCTTGTTTCCTTTTGGGACCCTCTTGAATACCTTTTAAACAGTTTACAGGCATTATGTTTACATATCCATACCATTTTGTACACAAATATTGTACTGTATTGCATTTCACCTACTCCATCACTACACATTTCATTCCCTCAGCCCACTTCACTCATACCACATCACTCAATACCACTATTCATACTCTTGCAAACTAAGTTTCTTTTTTTCATAACCAAGTTTCACTTCCCGATATGAGGCCTTGGAGTAGGTTTGTGATTTAAGTATCTTCAGATGATTTCGGGGCTAAGGATCCCTGCGGCCCGGTCCTCGACCAGGCCTTTTTGTTACACGTCCCCAAGAAGCAGCCCGTAGCAGCTGTCTAACTCCCAGATACCTATTTGCTGCTAGATGAACAGTGCATCAGGGTTAAAGAAACTGCCCATTTGTTTCCGCCTCCGCCAGGGATCGAACCCGGAACATTAGGACTACGATTCCCGAGCACTGTCCACTCGGGTGCATGATTGTCTTAAAGGAATACTGTACTTGCAGATTTTAAGCACTACCACAGGCAGTAACAATGATGCTGCAACCGACTCCTGGCACCATTTATCAGGTCCAGGGGCCTGTTTTGAAGGCCAGAAAACCTTTTCAATTATTACATGATTTAGAAATGCTTTTCTAGACATATGATCTCAGGTCACTTACAACATTATAGGACATTTTTCATGACTTTACTTTTGAATAATGCAGCCAACCTATCATGACTGGATTAGTTTAAGATATGTTTGATTGGGCGGACATTATTATTGTTTCCATTCAAATTAGTTAAGGCAACCTTTATCTATCCAACATTTACTATACAAGAACTTGAAAAGGAATGCTTTACATAAATCAGGCGTGAAAAAGAATTACAATACTATGATCATTAAAAGTGTACATACTAATTAAACATGATAAATGCTTCAATAGTTAATTCACAAAAGCACCTCTCTAAAGATAACATTAAGCATTAAATTAGGCTGTACATTATAAGCAAGGCTTATTATTAGAACTTCTAAAAGGCAATTGGAACCTTCATAAAAATAGTGACACGATTTGATTTTTAACCCAGCAAGACTTAAGCAAATTGTCACTTAACACACAAAGATTTTCACACTACCTGTATTACAATAAGAGTTAGCTATGATCAAGTCCCTACAATCCATCACAATTTGGGTGAATACCAAACCCTCCCTATACCAGCACCAGATATAAGTAAGGGTATGTAGTAATAACAGTAATATGCCTGGCCTCTCCAGCACATGCCTGGCCTCTCCAGCACATGCCTGGGGAGGCCAGGCATGTGCTGGAGAGGCCAGGCATGTGCTGGAGAGGCCAGGCATGTGCTGGAGAGGCCAGGCATGTGCTGGAGAGGCCAGGCATGTGCTGGAGAGGCCAGGCATGTGCTGGAGAGGCCAGGCATGTGCTGGAGAGGCCAGGCATGTGCTGGAGAGGCCAGGCATGTGCTGGAGAGGCCAGGCATGTGCTGGAGAGGCCAGGCATGTGCTGGAGAGGCCAGGCATGTGCTGGAGAGGCCAGGCATGTGCTGGAGAGGCCAGGCATGTGCTGGAGAGGCCAGGCATGTGCTGGAGAGGCCAGGCATGTGCTGGGGAGGCCAGGCATGTGCTGGGGAGGCCAGGCATGTGCTGGGGAGGCCAGGCATGTGCTGGAGAGGCCAGGCATGTGCTGGGGAGGCCTGGCATGTGCTGGGGAGGCCAGGCATGTGTTGTGCCCCACAGGTTGCCGATGTCGAGCAAAGTAACAAGCCTTACAACGCGACACAACGTCACGCAATACACAGCTAGCGAGAGCGCCTGTAGCCACAGTTAACACTATTAGAGTAACACACGAGGCAGAAGCTTACCAGTGGTGTGTGTATATGTGTATGTGACGAGGCTGTGTGTATGTGTATGACGGTGTATGTGACGTAGTGCTCTCTCTCATACACAGTCAGGCCCACCACCACCTCCTGCCAGTCACCTCAGTTATCAGACTTCCGTAAACCGTGTATGCCAACGTCTCTCTGAGCCTGTTGCCTCACACAGCCCTCAGTGGTGGTGTGTTGTGAGGTGTGTTGTGAGATGTGTTGTGAGGTGTGTGTGTGTGTGTATACAAGCAGGTACTTGACGAGAGAGGCCTGTTGTGTGGCCTCGTTGCTGCTCCACCTTCACACTGACCTCAACACCTCCCTCGTCACCCTCAACCACCCCGTCACCCTCTCACCCTCACCCAACCACACTCAAAATACATCTCACTCTCCACACTATCGCCCATAGGTCAGTCAGCCACGCACCAACGGCGGGGTTTCACTATTTTCCGCAGGCGGCCACACTAGTCGACTATCCACACCAGTCACCGCCTACAAAAACAATGTCGAAATATTAACTTACCTTGTCACCCTCCAGCTTGATTTCCTCCGAGGTGGCACTCAAGGCTAAGGATCCCCCTTGAGGACCACTGGCTTGTTGTTTCAAGAATTGTGAGGAGGAAGAAGAGCCAGGCTTGTCCGGATTACTTGAGTCTCCGTCTTGCGGGAGACATGCAGCCATCTTGACTGTAGGCGACGTTGCCGTCATCACGCAAATTTTCTCACTTCTCTTGTTACCTTCCCCCAAACATTCCTCTACCACCATATTGCTCTCTCCTCCTTCCAATCACTGTATTTACCCACTAATTTGCAATCGAATAAGAAAACTCAAATATATTACTACTTACGCCATTTTTTCTCAACTCGAGATAATCCGAAAAGAAATGCGATTATACGTTGGTAATTTTGTACTAAAGGTAAAGAAAAAAGGTGAAAGTTGTAAAATTATTAAATAGCAGAGCACGCGGACCGACGATGGCAAGAAGGGATGTGATTGGTGGAGGGAAGGTCACGTGACCACCTCACCTGTGCGCACGCGCTCCTCCAGACACACTAATGTCAACATCAAACACAAATACACTCAAAATATGTAAATAGTGTAAACATAACAGAACTTATAGCTAAACTTTTCACGATGTGTTTCAGTACTACATATTGAAAAATGAAGAAACACGGATATGCTTCTAATTCAGGCATATAATGCATACATAACATTTAAGTTTTCAAAAGTTTGAAAAATAAGAATATCTAAGCTATGGAATGATTAATTAAAGCTCATAAATTAACGAATAATAAAGGAATTGCATGCAGTTGTTTTTGTCCATGTTCACACCACCCACAACACGGCGCTATGACAAGTCTACTTCCTGAAAAGTTAACTTAACAGATATAGGCCTACGAATGTGAAAAGAATTGACTGTACAATCTATATACACAGCTAATTTTCTCACTAGTACCCCACCCTGGTACTATAGTGGGAGGTTAGCTCCCAGGTTATGGGAGGTCAGCTCCCAGGTTATGGGAGGTCAGCTCCCAGGTTATGGGAGGTCAGCTCCCAGGTTATGGGAGGTTAGCTCCCAGGTTATGGGAGGTCAGCTCCCAGGTTATGGAAGCTGGATCATCAAATCGGCTTCATAATACAAATCTTGATGACGAAACCACAATTCAGAAGATGGAGAAGCGACGAGGTTTCGGTCCTTCCTGGATTATTGTTGTTGTTATAGATTCAGCTACTCTGAACAAGTTCCAAATAGCACGGGCTATGGTGAGCCCGTAACTTACCTGGCTGAGAAGCGGGGCAAGTAGCACTGACTATGGTGAGCCCGTAGCGGCCTACGGGCTCTTTATACCACCCAGCGTGGCACAGGAGAGGTGCAGTGTGCCGTCCTGGACCATTATCAAGTCTTTATACCACCCAACTTGATTATGGTCCAGAGCAAAACGTCGCCCCTTCTCCATCTTCTGAGTTGTGATATGGTCATCATTTCTTCAGACACGTTATTGTGATTCATCGTCACCAATCAAAATCTTAATTTACAGGTAACTTAATTTAAAAACTTCTTCGTCGATATAAGTTAGTTTTAGTTTAGTTCATTTATTATGCACCCCATACCCATCTTGTGGGCGGTAGTGGAGAGGGTTAATTACCCATTATCGCCAACATTGCTAGTATTGCACTAATGCTATATACAGTAGTTATTACCTACATTTGAACAGCAGGTACCTGCCTTGGAGTTAACTGTAATTAGCATGTATACTAGTTTTAATGTCATGCTTACAAGTTAACTGTACGACTGATGACTTCCAAATCCTTCGAAATGTTAAATGTATACCTCAATCGCTAGTTTTAAGTTGGTTTATCTTGTTTGAGTATGAGAAAGACGAGATATGGTGCTTATCTGCGCATAATGTTTCAATATACTACTTCTGTCCGTCGCTTTAGCTCTCTTCACTTCTTCTATATCCGCTTGTATCACTTCAATCCTCATCTTTAGTTGTTTCAAAGTTATATGGCAAGTCACATCGTCGACAGCTTTTTCTGTAGCCCTCTATGCTGTCACATCAACAGCTGTCGATACACTGATAATCTATTGTTTGATATGTCTAACACCACTCTTTCACTATATAGATTCAGCTACTCGGAACAAGTTCCAAGTAGCACGGGCTATGGTGAGCCCGTAGTGGACTTACCTGGCACAGGAGCGGTGCTATCTCCCCTCTTTCACTAAAAGGGCAGGCATCTTTACTTTTCTTAACTAAGTCCTTTAAGCACGGTAATGCATCAAGTTCAACCTTCTTTGAAGAGATATTGTCAGTTGAACGATGCTTAATAAAAGAATCTACGGTGGTGATGTCAGTTCATTCTCTAATGATGTCTAATAGCATTATCTACGGTGTCAATATCTGTGTACTCCCCTAGTGATGTCCAATAACAATATCTACGGTGCTATCTATGTATTCTCAAATCAAGACTTTCCATCGTGATCTGATTCAAGGCAGGATTCAAGACATCCTGCCCTTCCGTCCTTATAGGTACCGAGCAATCACATTGTGATGTAAAATATATCGTAAACGATATTGTAAAAACACGTAGTGTTCTGTAGCAACAATATTAAGAAGTAATACACTTGCTCCATATTCTCATTAGCTTCAGTGCAGATAATTAGATGTGACCGTTAAACCTACTTTTCTTATCTCTAAGAGTTCCATTTTCTAGGAAGTTCTACATTATTCCTAGGTCCACTAATTACAATTAATATCTCTTCCCAACCAGCTAGATGTTGGTCAGTTTGGCAAGGTGAGTAGAAGCTTATAATATAAGCCGTTGACAACAGATCAGATTACGGGCTATTCATGCCCGTGCCACCTCTTGGGTGACTTAATCTTCATTAATCAATCAGCAGATCAGATCAGAGTCGACGGGAGACATCTCCCGTCACGTAGGGTGCAGTCGCACCTCCACAGATCTCCAGTATCAGCTCTTGATACTGGTAATGGCTCAAAAGGGCCACCACTTACGGGCTATTCATGCCCGTGCTACCTTTTGGGTGACTTAATCTTCCTCAATCAATCAATCAATCATCAGTCAGTCTAACTACAATAGTAGTTCAGAACAGACGCTCGAGAGATACCGCAGATCTTCAACACCAAGTAACATTCACCAACAACAATGTAACACTCGTCGAGTCTAGTTCCTACACCCGCCACAAGACGCCTCAGCCTCGCTACGGAGCAGACAGCCAGATTCCGGCTGCATCGAGCTTCCATGCTCTCGTCCCGCATTCGAGCTCTGCGCTTTACACTCTCACCCCGCATCCCGCATCAGTTACCACAACACATCATATTCCCAACAACTAATTGCTGCAACAAAGAGTATATTAAATAAATATGAAAAAAAACACTAAACTCTTTTGAGTCTGCCCGAAACGCTATGCGTACTAGTGGCTTTAGGTATTGTATGTACTACCTCTATCTTTAAATCAAACAGAATGTTTGTACTCTAACTCTGCAACTATGTATGTACTTTTCCTAAATAAAGTATTATTATTATTATTATTTCAATTCCAAGTAAGTTTATTGAGATAATAAAATACATCTCAAAAGGATAGAGTAAGTTAGGCTATTTCTACCCTCGTCAAATTAAGGTCCTTCAAAGGGCTCACAGATCCATACAGTACATAAATATTAATCACCTTTTACATCTCACATTCCAATAGTAATGACATGGTATACAGTGAGAGCTTATTGATTATGCTGCACTTGTCAGTTCTTGTTTTGGTACAGGTAGACTAACCAAGTTGGAGAAGGTATAAAATAAAGTCAGAGAATAATCTTAGGAGACGATGAGTTACAATAACGGGGCTGAAGATATGATGACCAAACCACGCATCAGAAGATGGTGAAACGACAACGTTTCGCTCCATTCTAGACCATTATCAAGTCGTGTGTGAGGGAGAAAGGATTGATGATTAATGAAGATTAAGCCATCCAAGAAGTGGTACGGGCATGAATAGCCCACAACGGGAGAGAGGTAATTCCCTTTCACAGTACATACTTAAATGCCCTAACCTTCTTAACAAACGTGACCTGACTTAAGCCTACCCTCTTTCCTTTTTCTTACCTCATCCCAGTCACACCTTTCATCCCATTTACATCTTTCATCCTATTCTTACCTTTCACCTTGCTCTTACCTTCTTTTCCTCTTTCTGCTGCTCACCTCACTTTTTCCTTATTTATTGCCACGTTCCTCCCCCCCCCTATCTCCTGGAATGTGAAGCAACCAACGACCTTAGAAGAGCTTTAAGAGTCACCTAATCTTGCAGTAACCACCCTGAAGCCACCAACACGGCCACTCTCCTGGTCAACAAAGGTGTCCAGCAGCTGGACACCCTCATAAAGACTGTCAAGCAGTATCCTTCCCCGCGATAAGATTGATTGATAAAGATTAAGCCACCCAAAAGGTGGCACGGGCATGAATAGCCCGTAAGTGGTGGCCCTTTTGAGCCATTACCAGTATCAATAGATGATACTGGAGATCTGTGGAGGTGCGACTGCAGCCTGCGTGACGGGAGATGCCTCCCGTCACCTCCCCGCGATAGCAGCTTGACGATTAAATGCAACCTCAGAACACTGAAAAGATTTACTGAACAAAAAATTGTACCACTTACGGGCTATTCATGCCCGTGCCACTTCTTGGGTGGTTTAATTTTTATCAATCAATCAATCACTCTTCCCCTGCCCACACAGTTACAGCCCCACTCCTGTGCCAGGTAAGTCCACTACGGGCTCACCATAGCCCGTGCTACTTGGAACTTTTGTTTCGAGTAGCTGAATCTAAGACAACAACATCTCTCTCCTTCACACCCGACTTGATAATGGTCCAGGACGGACCGAAACGTCGTTTCTCCTTCTGATATGTGGTTTGGTCATCGCAATAATCTTAGGATGACCAAGAATTGTTATGACTGAGATAATGAGGACGGAATTGAACTTACAGAGTATTGGGGAAGAATTTTAGAGATAAATGTAGTTTCGGCGATTAGATTAATGAGAGGCGGGGGAGCTAATGAATTAATCCTCTCACTTCGAAAGGCGGGAAGAAATGAACAATGCATGTTAAAGTATAAGAATGTATCAGGTTCATGATTTGTACCAAGAGAAACAACAACGGCACTTTCCTGCACCGTGGGAGGTTACACCCTTTCCAGTTTTAATCCCTCCCTTTCCACCCAAGAAGCAAATTAGAGATCAGCCCAAGCTTCGTCTTGAGGCAAAGCTCAACGCCTTAAGCCATATTAATGCTCTGTCCACAGAGCATTCTCTCTCTCAAATTATATACACTGATGGTTCCCTACACCGTCCCACGGGTGCAGCTGGAAGTGCAGTTGTCCTGACAATGGGCGATGGCCTATACTTTGAGTGGGGAGTCCGTATAAACAACTGGGCCTCTACCCT